GTCATCTCCTCTCCTAGTTCTCACACCTCCAATTGATTATGTGAATTTCCTAATGATGCGAATATGGTCAATCTGTTTCTGTGTAGAGGGATCCAGTGATACTCGTGTGACTTCGTGTATGCGTTTATGTGGGAGTATTGTGCTGCCTATAACGATTTTCTTGAATGCACATAAATTTGAAAATCTGTCATCATTCTCTTTCCTTATTCCTAGTCTATGTCGTCATATGATATCTTCATAGCCGGTGTTGTCCATTCCGACCTTGGCGTTTAGTTTTCCTATTAGGATGATCAGGTCGTTTTTTGATCACAACATCTCGCAAAACTGGTTTTTGTCGTCATTGGTTGGTGCATAACATTGGATAACATTCATTATGATCTCCTTCTTTGTTTTGAAAAATAATTTGATGTTTCTGGATACATGGGATTCCCATCCTAAAAGTCATTATGTGCCTCACTGGACAACATTAAAGCGACTCACTGAGTGTGTGTCAGCTGTAAAATTCGAACTTTTTAATTATTCGCTTATCTGTCACGTTCTGTAAGTTACTAAATCAAATTCTAACAGATATCCCTGTATTTCTGTCGAGGCGATCCTGAGAAATTTCTCGCAATAAACATGACAAGCTCAGGAAACATGAAGGAGCATTTTATCCAATCAGCGTTTGATTAGAAGTTTTGCTAGAAATATCGCGAAAATGAAAAGTCACATGTACAGGTTTTGATTTGCTGATTACTACACTGCTATTATGTTTAGTAAGATTCTAGAATTTTCAGGAAAACCCAAGGACTTTTAAAATACTAAAAAACCCTATATATTCTGTACATAAATGAACCTTTGGAGTAAAGTGCTTCCCGCGTATTTTGTGCCTTTTCTCTTGTGTTCAAGTAGCTGTGTAGTTATAGCTTGGGGGTTACGAAACTAGCTTAGGATCCGAATATAGCGTTCAGTCAGTAAGACTTGTCAATTTCATTGAAATCATGAAAGGATCTGAGTTAGAACATTAAAGAAAACCTGTAAGGTTTCCAAATCAACAATTTCCACAAGCCCTTACTGACAGATATCTTTGGATTGTATTCTATGATTAATTTATTTTGGTTATTGTATAAAGTAGGGAATTTATTCCCATCGATAGCGCCTAAATAGTTCACATCATTTGAAGACCTAGTGTTCCAGTTTCAATGTGATTTTGAGTATGGTAAATTCTATGTATTTTTCAGCATTGGAATGAGGGATCGAGGCTGTATCTCAGGTTTAGCAATTATTCATTTGTAAGGCATCTGAATAGAGCTAGCGATGTAATGACTCAAGTCAAAATATAAAAAAATTGTTATTGATAGTTGAAATACAAAACCGAAGAACTCTCTAGATGAAATTAAAGATGGAATTTCAAAAGATTCTATCTAAGAAATTGATGTAAGCAAAGATGGATAGTGACTAGCAGTGGAATTCAGTTTGACGCGCGTTTCGTCCTATTTCGGACTCGTCAGCTGGATGTACCTGCCAAATCTCAGAGTTGGTGTTCACTCTGGGAGTCGAACGCAGTACCATTCTTTTGAAACACCATCGTGTTATCCACTCGACCACTGAGTCCTGATAGCCACTTGCTTGTGCGATGGGGTGATGTTTCAGAAAAAAATAGATGCTTGAATTATTTTCTGTGAGCTGTGTAATCAAACTAAATTTGCAGGAGGGTAGTCGTTTAATTTAATTAGAATATTGGTTATTTCGTCCTGATGGTCTTTATGACCTCCTAACCACTGATATGCTTATAGAGGGACAATAACTAAAAAATACTTAAAAATTGTAAGTTCAGAATGGAGCTAACGAATTCTCCATTGCTTAACATCTGGAATGGAACATTATGTAGTAAACGAATGTCTTCTTACTATGAAATTCAAATTCATCAGCGATGATGTATTAGTCTTCAATGATGTTTTGATATCAGTTTACCCAAGTTAAACATTGTCTGTTATTATGCTTAAAATTTGTACTGGCTGATATGTGATGTTTGAATGAACCAATGACTTCTTTGCATTGATGACTGTTGTAATCTTTGAATTCCAGATTCACTCTTAGTAGATGCTGATTTTCCTAATGATCCATTATTCTCTAAATGAAACTCTTAATAAATTCAAAGGAAATATTTTAGAAAAATCAAGTTCTGATATCATATTGAATGCCATTTACCCTAACAATGAATTTATCTCTAATGATATTCCTAAAGAATGTGACAAATATGTTCCACATGTGTCGAATTCTAGTCACATTTCTCATGTTATTGCATCAGATGTTGGATATTCTAACGGACAATGTTTGTTGAGTAGAATCCCTAGTCAGTGGTATGATGAATCAGAGGGGATAGCAAAATTTCCCGAAGCAATCAGAGAACCAGTTTGCCCAGATATGGAGTTTGCACAGGCAGAGAATCCAACTTAAGTCCAAGATTATCCTAATGAGTATGAGGCAGATGCATGTTATCCATTCGATTGTTTCGCAGGTAAATCAGGTAAAATTACATATATCAATGCATATCTATCTGTGTATTCTAATATGAATAACAAAAATAATATGTATCATAATTTTTATGCAAGTCAAAGTCACAGGATGGAATACCTCAAATTATATATCAGTGTTTATCCCCGAATACTCATATACATTATTCGATGCGTGAGATTTGAGAAGATAATGCAAATTGGAACGTCATACTGGTTTTAACGCTGCGACGTAAGGACCGAACATTATTTCGTGGAGGAGGATAGTGTTGGAAAGTCTATGATGCAAATTCTAAATATCAATGGTTTCACTATACAACCGACATGATGATTGTATACAATTCCAGAACCCAGGCGAGTCTGTTCCAATTTCGGTTGTTAATTTTAATACTTACGAGTGCATTCTGGATAAAACAGAGTCTACGTTCAATACACTGTCGGACAGGCGCAAGATGAACTTAAGAAGTAGACGTACAATCGATTACAGACATTTACACTCCAATTTGAGCTGTGGAAGATGTGATGTTTGGATGAACCAATGACTTCTTTGTATTGATGACTGTTGTAATTTTTGAATTCCAAATACAATACATTCGTTTGTGCTCATCTAATACTTCTTGATTAAATTGCGTTATTCCTGAGATTACTAATTTATACTACAATTCAAATACTTCGAATCATCATATGATAATAAATGTTTGTCTTATTTTAATTCCAACATATGGTCACCGTTATCTACTCGTTGCGCCAGAACGTCAAAAGATTCACCTATTTGCTTTTCAGTTTTACTTTCCATTATGGCATGGGCATTGATATTAAGTGGTACAATCACTACATTCTAGAGACCAGCTATCTAACCAATCATAAATAAATAATCTCAACACGCAATTAACTGGAATATCTGAGAAACAAGAGTGAGTGATAGGTCTTTAATTGATTCACGCTAAATGGTTTACCAAAACAAGGTGTATATGACTTGGGGAATACCATGAACCAGTAGTTTAACAAACACACAGTGAATATATCTAATACAAGTTAACCATAAATTAGCTACATAACAAAATTTACTTTTACGTTGATTCTCCCCATCTTGACACTTAATAAGTATCATCAAACAAAATATGCAGGACCCTCATTCAAAACTGATTACATTGATGACCGAGTATATGGTGGTATTTTATTCGATGTCACAAACAACACACACATTTATGTAAATGATGCATCGGTAACTATGAAACTTGTCAAGTGTATAGTAGTTCGAATTTCAATCATTTTTACTCATTTGTTTACGACATTGTGATGAACAGTAATGACTATATGACAATTAGTTGTTATGGCAACAAGCAAAAGGAATATAAATATGCGATAATATTTAAAATGTTAGGAAAGATCTGTTACCAAAGGAAGAGGTGAGTATAACGTTGTTTTTGTTTATCTGTGTTACTACTGACTTACCCAATCGTGGTACTCACTGAATTTCTTCAGTCAAGGCTTCATCTATTGTCGAAATCCATTAGCTCTCTGTACAATGAAAAGTCATATTGGGTATTATGCAAATGTCTGTTATAACTTCACTGCGCGACAAGTGAAACTTTGGATACATTTCTAGGTTTTATTACAATAAATTGACACAGTATTCACTTGTCATCTACTGTATATGCTTTTTTGTTCCAGAATGACAAACTTTCCATTCCATTAGTTTACATCAACAATGGAATGAGCTGTGCAGGGAGGAGCAAACATTTCTTCATATTCTCCGAAGTTTGAGTAAGGCTGATTTGCTCAAAACTGGTATTCGTGTTACATGAATCAATCTAATCAGACAACAATATATAACTCGAAACTATGAATAACATTGTCAGTAATCAGTGACATTTATACGTCACACCTCACAAGAGTTAAGAAACTGTCACTACTTCCACAGCTTAATCATTCTCAATAACACTTATTCATCAAAGTATTTTGTTACAGATTTGTATGATTGTTTTGTGACAAGAACCATATTCATACTAAACAAATCTTTGCACAAAACAACTCGGTGAATTATAGTTGTCAGTACGTTACTGTTTGATTTGATGATGGATTTCATAGTGTAGTGTTGGGAGCCGGTGACCTGTTGAATCAGGACACTGATTACATACCGTGATGTATTACAAACTAATTATGTTGGAAATACGAACTTGTATATAGACTGATTGATCCAAAACATGTCTTAGTTGGTGTTACATCCGAAGACACTGGGCGGTTTAGTGAGAGTTCAAGTTTACTCCCTCAAATGTAATGTTTTGAATTCAGATATGTAAGAGACTACACTATTCCTGCATTGTGTATACTTCCACAGTCAATATTTGTTGAATATTCATTGAGTGGAAACTGTGTGCGAATTGCTTTGTGTGCCAAATGCGTGACTTGTATTGAACTGGTTAGTCGAAGAGCATTATCTAGAGAATTCTTGCTAAGTGTTTCCCATGTTGTGTTCTGTTTGACAGGTTTTCAGACTGAACGATGAAGACAATCAAGTGTTTGATATTCCACTTGCTGATATTCTCAGTGCTGTGTGTTCTGGTGAAGTGTTTTAGAAGGCCATCACCTCCGAGATCAGGTGTTAATCATTTGCAACAAGAGTTAAAGAAATTTGAACAAATAGGAGCTAGGCTTGAAGAGGACATAGAAGTATTGAGTGAACAGATTAATGATCTGATATGTAAGAACGGAAGTGCAAACGTAACAACAGTAAAGCGCAGCCTACAACCAACATTAACATCAATGCAAGGTCAGTCATCAAACAGTCAAAAACAACCTATGCAACAACAACAATATTATCCATCCAATACGATGATGAACAGTCAAATGGGAGAGAGAATTACCAACAATGCACAACAACCAATAAGTGCATACTCTCAAAATTCTAATTTATATAGTGGACAGAGTGGATATGGACAATCCACTGGTCAATCACAAATGATCAAACGTCAACAACAACAACAACAATCAAGTCAACAACCAAGAGTAACATCAATGCAAGGTCAGTCACCAAACAGTCAAAAACAACCTATGCAACAACAACAACAATATTATCCATCCAATATGATGATGAAGAGACAAATGGGAAAGAAAATTACCAACAGTGCACAACAACCAATCAGTGCATACTCTCAAAATTCTAATTCATATAGAGGACAGAGTGGTTATGGACAATCCACTGGTCAATCACAAATGATCAAACGTCAACAACAACAATCAAGACCAATACAAGCTCACTTCCCACCACAAGGTCATCAACAATATAGATATCCTGAACAACACCTAGTTTATGAACCACCTCAATATTACGATAACATAGGATGGGGTGAAAATGTACCAGACAGTTATGAGCCTGTTGGTGAGCCATATGCATATGATGATTACGCTGAAGAACAGGATATGGGTGGTGATGATAATATAGAGAAACGTGAAGTGAAATAAACTGAAATTAGATTGAGAATGACAGTTTTGTTGGAGAGTTATATGGAGATGTGCTGAAATCCTGTGATTACTTAGATAAATATTGACTGTTTATCTTCGTGTGTTTAAATATAATTGAATAGCTCGATTTCTGTTCAGTGTTTTGTTTTTAGAATAGTCAGCAGTTTCAGGCTTACTATTTGAGCATAGGTTGAAATAAAAATTCACTATAGAACAGTGTTCCACTGTTGATGATGTTAAAGACAATTAGTGTTTTAGTGTTAGTAGGCACAATCTGTGTCATTTCGTTTCCTTGTTTGTCTCAGAGCAATCTTATCATTGAGAAGTTGTTGATTACTCAGTTTGACTGGTTGACTGAATCACACGATTAATCGATTTGGATCATCTCAAAGTTGAATTGTTTAAACCCAGTTCGACATGGATGTAGGTCATCGATTGTGTTGTTAAAACTTTGATGAATCGAGAAATGTCACCAAATTGATGGAAATTAAATGTTTACTTGATGAGGAGTATCAAGTTGATAAATCTCAGAAGTGAAACTAATCGATGTCAGATGGAAAACTTGAATGAATAGGAAATTCCCGTTTGAAATACGAGAGTGACACTTATAGGGACAACGATGTTCATCATGATTTGATGGATATGACTGTTATGAGAAATGACAGAGATGTATACTAAAACAATCAAGAAAATTCTTTTACTGATAATACAGTGAAGCTTAATTTGCAACATGTTGCATGACTGGATGGTTATAGTGTTACTATTCCCCACAGTATGTGAGATAGCAATATAAGTTATGTCTTATTATTTCTCGTTGAGTTTAATGAAATGGTTCGTGTCATGACTTTATAAAAAATAGGATGTATGCCAATTCCTTATTAGTTTTTGTCCGGGTTTTTATCACGTGAATTATCCACCAATCAAAACACAACTTTTGCGATCTTAACGCTGTGATAAATCAATGACGTTCAACTAGTTTGAGCAGTCCAGTGTTCTTATTGGTCCATTGTCCGTCTAGCCCCTCCAATTGAGTCCAGAACACCATTTACAGATTCAGCTATACGAATCATTTATTACAAACATACTCGGTTTATATACCAAACTGACAGACGGCAGCACTCCAGAAAATACAAAATAATATTTGTTCACGACCAATTCAAATGTGGCTGTGAACGTGGGATACAATAATCGATAAACTGAATATAATTGAGGGACAGTAATTCGTATAATAATAATTCATAGGTCAAAATGAAGATTGTAGTAAAATGAATATAGATATACACAGTCTAGTTACTCAACAGTTGAACCATAAGTATATACATAGAACATTTGTCCATTAGTAGGTCCCGGAAATTATCCGTAATTATGTCTTCGCTAGGGTATAGCAGCTCGATGAACAGTGTGAAAGTCTTAATTGTTTCGAGTAATTTGTAATTGAAAGAATGATAGTTATGAATTATGAACTGTGAAATGAAACACCTTGAGAATCTGATGTCAAATCTTATGATCACATTGAAAATAATCTAATCACATAGAAATAATTATCAGTTTGGTGGTATACCAAGCTGTAGTGTATGAACTAGATACTATCTAAACACTGCATATCTAGTAGTCTATTCACAATGTAGATTATATCTTTCGAGAAGAAACACAAGGTTGTCATCTAAACATAATGAGTTTTATAGTGTCACCGACGAACTATTAAAGTGACGTAGGTCAATCTCCATACAAAATCCAATAACCTATATCACACAGAACAACCTCAGTCTACTCCACGTCACTTCAATAACGATGGTACTATTTCTGGTATGCATTTAGCATATATTTTGTCGAATCATGTCAGCTTGTTGAATAGAAACATTTCACAACTTTCTGCTTCATTATGTGCTACATTGACTCAAGTACACAAATCGCTTGCTATTCAACCATCTACAAGAATGAATATTGTCAGTAATGACGGATTATGAAAAGCATCCACCGAATAATAGAATGCAATTGAAAGTTGGATTATGATGTAAATCATTTGAGATAACACAGTTTTAAGTCGTTGAGAGATGAGATTCATTAGGATCTGTTGTATTTCTGGAAAAGAAATAATCGTTGAAGTATTCGGATTTCTCCAATAATAAGCTTTCCCAGTTTTCGTTGCCAGATCGGACGTAAAGTGTGATTGATCATAATTTCCAAATCCAATCTAACTTCCAGAGATCGAATCACATAATTCCATTAGTTGAGAACGAAAGAGGAATGATGGATGGAGGAACGATCGAATACATTGGATTAATGTTTGATAGTGTATGATCATCAGCTTCATTGCGCTAGATATTCTCATTGAAAATCCTTAAATAATTAATGTTGAATCACGATTGAAAAGGTGGGAGTGTTGGAAGTCTGTTTCATCCTTGTTCGGTTCATCGTTTCTATAACATTCAACATTCTCCACAACTACAAACTGCACATTAATTTCATGTAATTTTCACAATAATCTGTTGTGAATCACATATATTTTGTTCATTTGAATTTGATAGATTCTCTGAGTGAACATTAAGTGTGAGATTCATGTTCATCTAAATGACGAGTATCAAATAGGATGGACGTTATGTTCATGTTTGATTCCACTGCTAACCATTATCTGTATCAGTTTTAAACTTTTGAAATATATCAATGTAAATCAAACTACTGAATACTTGGGAGTAGTAGGGAATGAGACAAATGATTGGTAAATTAATCAAGGAATGAATTTCAAATATGTTGAATCGATTTAACATTGCTAATGTGTATTTCATGTATCTAGTTAGAATTTCTCAACAAACATCAAATAGTTAAAAGCGTGAGTCAATTGAAGCTAGACAACCTGGGAAAATCTGGAAGCAGTGAACGGCCGTTTCGTCCTATTATGGGACTCCTCATCAGTGCACATCCACGACCTCGGCTCGAGAGATTCAAACTCATCTAATAACTGTGAAACATTAGACTGTTCTTTTACTAGATTGCAGTTTAATTATATTCAGCATTCTAAATTATGTTTGTGATAGTGAAATTCTTTGGAAAGCTTCTGAAACTTAATAAGGTTATGGTTTTGGCTTACTGGTATATCGACTTGCGTTAAGTTAGATAAAACTGATGCTAAATAAATGCTACATTAGAAATAGGATTGAAACAAACAAATTTGAGGAAGGTGATCAGACTACAGCTGATGGTTGATTTATGTACTAATTACTGATTAGCAATTGATTTCATAATTGATGTAGAAATTATGACTAAATCCAGTATATTATAGATGATATTTGTACTATATTTGACACTGTTCTGGAAATAACATTCACACTTACAAGTTCTCTGTCTTCTAATTTTGCGACTTGGGAGGGTTCTAGCGTTCGAGTGCTCAAGTATTACGCGACATACTAAGAATCTAAGGTCGAGATATAACAATATAATAGTTTAGTAAGTCATGACCACTTTAATTTTCTTCCAATATTCTTTAAAATAACCTTCATTTTATGAGACTAATTGAAGTCAGTAATATACACAATAGGATTTCCCTCCAATGGTCTAAATGTGAAGCTCCTGCAACGAGACTTAAATTTCTCAAGTTCTATCCACTGTCAGGTCGTAGATTAACATTGTTGTTATATTTCCCCCTAAGACGAAATAGTTGTCTGGTACTACCTTGGTTTTCAACACTTATTCAACTAAGATCAGTTCATGATGTAAACTATGAAAATTAGACATTATATGATCTCAGTAAAATTATGTAATAATGAATGATTCAATATTCCGAAATTATCATTCTACTGACTAATCAAAGCCATTTCAGATATATCTTATTTAATCTATAATATATTTTAGGCTATACAGATGAAAAGCTGTTAAGTGGTTGGAAGAAGTCGACAAACAGAAATCCTTAATATATGTTTTGTACTATACGCTATCTGTCAGCAAAGTGTGCCGGCAGTTTTTCGATAACTGATGTTTCCTGATGAATTCAGTCATTTGTCATCCAGCCTCACAATTTGATAAATACCTACTAGAACGAAACATAGGTCTAGGATTTCTTATTGATTACATCCGAACATTTCAACACAATGGATGGATTATCGAGTCATATATTTTTTTATTCAAACACAAATGTATTGGTACAAAGAAGCACCAAATACATATGCGCCGCACAAATCTCATTTGATTTGTGTGAGGAGTGAGATGCTACTCAGGTGCCCAAACTGTAGCAGTTGGTTTTCTTAGGGGGCCACACCCGGGGCCTTTGACCTAAAGATCTGATCCACAAGGCAGTGAAGCATCGTCAGGAGATGGAGTCCCATGGTAGCCATTTGTTCCCTCAGGATACTGAAGTCCATGTGAACAATTGTTTTGGAATCAGGGTTTGCCAACTCCCCTAGGTAGAATATCCGTGTCCACGAACCCGGTTAAAGCGCCGAACATTCGCTTTTCGTCCTCTTAACTCCGTAAACAACACCCCTGGTGTGAGAAGGCAGTGAGTAGGACTTCCTCGGTATGGCCATGTGAGAGCATTTGGAGAGGGAGAGGACTCTCCCCACTCTCGACCGTACCAGGGCATTTGGGGGTAAGTCATATATACTAATGAATACATCGCAACTTGATTAATAAAATCCATTTAAAAGTAAAAGAAACATGGCTAGATACAAATGAAGTCAGTCATAACTCATCGATCAATAAATTATGGACAGCAAACTATTTTATAATAAATAATTCATTACCTGATTTTCATAAATGTAACGCTTATTGAAAAAATGTAAGTTGATTGAAAAACAGAACACAGCTGTTGTGATTTTAAGCCAGGCCAATTATCACGTGACTTATTCGCCAATCAGAATACGACTTATACAATTTTAGCACTGTGCCAAACCAATGACGTTCGCTTGGTATGAGCACTCTAGCGTCCTTATTAGTCGTTTTTCCTCCTAGCTGTGCCAGTTGAACCCAGAATACAAACTTCCACTTCCACTATATTAATCATTTAT